GGTCCTGGGTACTTTCCAAGAGATGAAATCCTCTGAAGCAGGCAGGAAATTGCCATCGTTTAAAAGTTCCAGCTCCGTCTTCAGACCACTTGTCTCTTTCTCTTTAAGTTGGAAACAGAGAGATTGTGTGGGATCATTGTAAGCTCCATTTCAGATTCTTTCTTAACCCAGTTCCCACATAGGATATAAATTCCTTTAGATGGCTCTGACTTCCATTTTCTCTTCCCAACACATGTCAGTAGTCACAGTTTCGGGGGCTCTGGGGGCAGTGAGGCATCCTTAGCCAAAGAGGTTGTCGAGGGCTGAAGCTGGGAGGATGCTTTGAAACAAATGTGAACACTGTATTTACATTTAAATTAAAATGGGAACTTCTTATAGGTTATGTTTCTGCAAGGTGTGTGCAGTGCATCTGCAGAGGTCTATTGTTTATTCACGCTGTAAATCCTTTGAAATGTGTTAAAATGCTTCCCACTCATTATAAAGCTCCTGCCACCCCTGGATTATGACTTTGATGTCACCAATCCTGCTTCAAAGGGTTCTTTCTGGGCTATTAATCACAGTTTAGCCTCTGAAGATATCGCCAGAGAAAACATTTGGACATCTTTGTGCTAGACTTGCTAAAAACTTTGAGATCTCAAGTGTCTTGCATAGGCACAAATTGCAGCATTTCCTTTCATTGACAACTTTTTATTTTGCTACAGAATCAAATGGCATCGTCAGTAAAGAAGCAAACAAATCTTCAAGCGCTGAGTTTGGGAGGCTGGGGATAGGAGAGGAGATTAAGAGTAGGTGGGTGGTGAGGGGAGAAGAGCATCTGGACAGGCCACTGAGATCCATTAAAGGTTAAAAAAAAAAACATTGGGAATCAGAGTGGCCAAGACATGGAGGTTCAAAGTAGAGGTTGCCTTATCATTTTTTTCTTATCTAGCATTAGTTTTTAGACTGACCAGTTCTCATAATAGCAAATTAGTAAGATTCCTTGGTATTCTCTTGCCTTCTACTCTCTGTTTTGAGACCTGTGTGGATGGACTATTCACAGCAAGTAATGATAATAATAATATTAATAATAATCAGTGCTGGCTAACATGAAGTGAGCACTTACCTTGAACAAGCTCTGCATTGACAGTGCTTATCGTGAATTACCCTCATGGAATGCCCATAACAACTGTCAGAATGAGGTAATACTGTCTTCATGTTATAGATAAGGAAACCAGGGCACTGAGATATTAGCTAATGTGTTCACACCCCAGGCAAATGCAAAAACCCATCAATCCCCAAAACTCAGTGGCTGATGCCCATGCTCTCTGTGTCCTCTGGTTTACTGCATGGCAGGCTTTCTCCCCGTGTGCCAGGGGGCCCATTCTTCCAGATCTGCTGATCAGTGTCTATGATCTTAAACTTTTACAGTGGGGTTCTCAATTGCCCAACTTCCTTTTTGGGAAAACTCCCAGCATCTTTTTTCTTGCTTACCCATCTCTTTCAAAGACTTAACAGTACCCTAGTTCGAAAATTTTTTTTTTATTGTGATAAAAACACATGAGACCTGCCCTCCGAACACATTTTTAAGTATATAGTACAGTATCATTCACTATGTGCACATTGTTGGAAAGCCGATCTCTAGAACTTTTTCATCTTGCATTACTGAAACTCTACCCACTGAACAAAAAATCCCCCATTTCCTTGCCCTTGCAAGCCCTGGCAACCAACATTCTACTCTCTGTTTTTATGAGCTTATCTGTTTTAGATACATCATATAAGAGGAATCATGCAGTATTTGTCTGTGACTGACTTATTTCACTTAGCATAATGTCCCAGGTTCATCTGTGTTGTCTCAAATGGCAAGACATCCTTCTTTTATAAGGCTGAATAATATTCCGTTGTACACATCTACCACATTTTTTTGTATCCACTCATCCTTTGGTGAATTTTTAATTTGTTTTCACAGCTTGGCTGTTGTAAACAATGCTGCAGTGAACATGGGAGGCACATACCTCTTCATGATTCTTTTTCCAGTTGTTTTGGATAAATACCCAGAAGTGGGCTTATTGGATTACATGGTATTCTATTTTTAATTTTTTAAGAACCTCCACACTATTTTCCATATTGGCCGCACTACTTTATATTCCTACTAGCAATGAGTGCACCAAGCTTCTAGTTTCTCCATATCTTTGCCAATACTTGTTATTTTTCTCTTGTTACTGTTATTGTTTTATACAATGACCATTCTAATAGTATAAAGTGATATCTCATTGTGGTTTTGATACGCATTTCCCTGATTCTTGGATATGCTGGGCATCTTTTATATAGCTGTTGGCCATTTTTATGTCCTCTTTGGAGAAATGCCTAGTCAAGTCCTTTGCCCATTTTTACTTTGTTATCCCTTTTATATTTTTTTTAAAGATTCATTTATTTATTTTGTAGAGAGAGCGTGCATGCACACACACACACGGGGGGAGGGGCAGAGGGAGAAAGGGAATCCCAGGCAGACTCCCCACTGAGTGTGGACCCCAGTGTGTGGCTCAGTCCTACAGCCCAGAGATCATGATCTGAGCTGAAATCAAGAGTTAGATGCTTAAACAACTGAGCCACCCAGGTACCCCTCCTGTGCCCATTTTAAAATCAGGTTATGTTATTTTATCTTTTGCTGTTGAGTTGTAGGAGTTCCTTATAGATCTGGGAAATTAACCCCTTATATGGTCTGGAAATATTTGGTCTGTAGTTGCCTTTTCCCTCTGTTGATTGTTTCCTGTGCAGAAGCTTTTGATTTGATGTAAACCCGCATGTCTATTTTTGCTTTTATTGCCTGTGCTTTTGATATCCTATCCAAGAAATCATTGCTAAGGTCAGTGTTATGAAGCTTTCCCCCTGTTTCTTCCCACCCCCAGGAGTTTTATAGCTTCAGGTCTTACATTTAAGTCTTTAATCCAGGAGGAATTGAATTTTGTGTAAGATAGGCGTCCAGTTTCTTTTTTTTTGCACTTGGATATCGAGTTTTCCAAACACAATTTGTTGAAGAGACCACCCTTTCCCCATTGTATAATCTTGATATCTACCTTAAAGACGATTTGACCATATATACATAGATTTATTTCTGGGCTCTCTATTCTGTTCCATTGTCCTGCATGTTTTTCTTTATGCCAGTACCATTCTGTTTTGACTACTGTTACTTTATAATATATTTTGAAATCAGGAAACATGAAGCTTTCAGCTTTTCTTTTCCTTCTCAAGATCATTTGGAGTTTTGGATCTTTTGTGGTTCTAGAAGATGAATTTTAGGGTTTTATTAATGTTTCTGTGAAAATGCCATTAAGATTTTGATGGGGATTACATTAAATCTATAGATTTTTGGGGGTATCATGGACATTTTAACAATATTAGATTTTTTAATCCATGAACACATAAAATATGCCACAAAAAAATGTGCCACCTTGGCATAAAGATTATTTGAGCTGAAGGTAATTGAGAAGATATAAATATAAGAAAAGCTCCCTGCCTTCCCTGTTTACATAAAAGCAAGACATAAATTTGTAGAGCTATCCCCCCACCCCTCTCTACCCGGAAAGACAGAAGTTAATCACCAGAGACAATTCTAGACCTTTATCAGCCCAGAGACAGCACCAGAGGAATCTGTATAACAAAACTTTACTAACTTGCCCTTACCTTCCATTAGCTTCCTCATATATTTACTTTCCCATAATTTATTGCCCCTAAAAACTCAAAGATCTTTGGTCACTTACCTAGAAATTTATTGTTATTTTGTTAAGATACTGCGTGAGCCCAATTCTTACTACCTCTTGACTTACTTATCACCAAATACTCCTGTGTGTATGTGTGATACACACATTAAGAAACCTCTGTTTTGGGGCGCCTGGGTGGCTCAGTGGGTTAAGCCGCTGCCTTCGGCTCAGGTCATGATCTCAGAGTCCTGGGATCGAGCCCCGCGTCGGGCTCTCTGCTCTCTAGGGGAGCCTGCTTCCTCCTCTCTCTCTGCCTGCCTCTCTGCCTGCTTGTGATCTCTCTGTCAAATAAATAAATAAAATCTTAAAAAAAAAAAAAAGAAAAAGAAACCTCTGTTTATTTTTCTCTTGTTAATCTGTCTTCTGTCAGTCTAATTTGCCCTAGGAAATTAACATAAGATGAGTAACATAAGATGAGTAGTGGAAAAAGATTCTTTTCTTCCCCAAGAACAAGGTGTCTTTCCATTTATTTGTGTGTCTTCTTTAATTTCTTCCAGGAATGTTTTCAGATTACAAGTCTTTGCCTCCTTGGTTAAGTTTATTTCTAAATATTTTATTCTTTTTGATGCCATTGTAAATAGGATTTTCTTAATTTTCTTTTCAAATTTTCGTTGTTAGTACGTAGAAATACAACTGGATTTTTTTATGCTGATTTTATATCTTACAATATAAGATTGCTGAATTGATTTATTAGTTCTAACAGGATTTTTGGTAGGATCTTTAGGTTTTCTGTATATAAAATCATGCCACCTATGAACAGAGATCATTTTACTTCTTTCTTTATAATTTGGATGTCTTTTATTTCTTTTTCTTGCCTGATTGCTTGAACTTGAGTGCTAGTTGAATAGAAGTGGTGAAAATGAGCATTCTTGTCCTGTTCCTGATCTTAGAGGAAAATGCTTTTGATCTTTCACTGTTGAATATGTTAGCTGTCGGCTTTTCACATATGTCCTTTTTATGTTGTGGCAATTTCCTTCTATTGCTAGTTTATTAGTGAATTGGGGAGTTTTTTATTATTTATTTTTTGCTTACGAGACTAATATAAATACAATTTCTATTATAAATTATAATTTATAAGTTATTATAATTTGTTTATAATTTATATCATTAAAGTTTCAAAATTCAAATTCTTCCAAATTTTTCATATTCAGAGCAGATCATTTGGAAAATTAATAAAAGTACAAGACATAAAGGGAAAAAATTACTCATAATTCTGTTCCTTAATTTTTCCTTCACTTTAGCTTTTTTGTCTTTCTTGCTCAGGTAACTTGGCCCAGACAAGAGCCAGGATAACAGCAGCCTCAAGATCTTTGCCTCCACATTTCAGTGCTGGGAGAACCAAGGTGAGTAGCAGGTTTGGACTCAAAATAATGTGGACCCTGGGGTGTTCCTGTCTTGGGGATAATCCTAGAGTAGGCGACTTTAGTTTCTCTGGCCCACGGGAAGTCTGGTTAAGAGATGGAAGGCATTTAGGAAATCAGAGGTTAGGAAATTTGAAACAACAGCATGGGATCTTTAAAATCCTGTGTTGTAGAAGAAAATGTCTTCTCTACCATTTTAACTTTCGTTCTCTGGGGACTGAATTAAACTCAACCTGAAAGAGTAAGAGAAGAAAAAAACAAATTTTAATCATATATACACACAGGAACTCAAAAAATTTACTTAAAGGGGTAGTTAGAATTTGAGGCTTATCTACCCTCTTCATAGGGGTTGAATGGGGGAGAGGGGCACTTGTGAGAGAACAAATGACTTTTGGGAAAAACAAATGGTCCCTTAGGAGAATAGATGGGAGATATGATAGTTTTGTGACAGTGTCTGTTTAGGCAATTTCTTGGAAATCCCAGTGCTCGTTTCTCATCTCTGGTGATAGGAGTCAGTCTTCCATGGCAGGTTGTGAAACTGCCAGGGAGGAGATTTATGACAGTTGGATGATTTTGAGAGGCCCTGTTTTTAGCCAGATAAGGGGAGTTCAGAAAAAGCCTCTTCTTGCAACTGTTGATTCTCAAATGTTCAACTCAAAATAATACCTATGCCACCATGGCATATTCTGGACCCCTTCATGTGATTCTCAGAAAGACCACTTAAGATACAGAACAATGACACTTGAAAGTAAAGTCTGTCTAGGAAGAGATGAAGTGCTCTTCTTTGAGGCTGTCACCAACCTACAGAGGAGTGTAACAGGGACCAAATAGAGTCAGCAGGGAGGAAAGAAACCAAACCATTTCCTGTCATTATGCTTTGCTTTCTGAAAAATAAGGAGTGAACTTGTCTGTGCAAAGGGAATGTTAGAAGGGTTAATAAATGTCCCACTGTAAAATTTTTTTTAAAAGATTTTATTTATTTGTCAGAGATCACAAGTAAGCAGAGAGGCAGGCAGAGAGAGAGGGGGAAGCAGGCTCCCTACAGGGAGCCTGATGCGGGGCTGGATCTCAAGACCCTGAAATCATGACCTGAGCCAAAGGCGGAGGCTTGAGTCACTGACTCCCGGGTGCCCCCCACTGTAAAATATTTTTAACTATTACATTTTTCCAGCCAATGTTTCACGAGGATCTCAAGGATTGGCTGGTTAATGTTCATTGTATATACTAACACCAACACCCAATTATCTAAAAGGTGATGGAGTAATAAAATAAGTAGATCACATTTCTGAATTTTCATATATTTTTATTTACATTGAACATTAAATTATTTAATAAAAAATAACAACTTCAGCCACACAGAATACTGTTGAATAGTCTCAAAATCGATACAGACATAGATATTGATATTTAACTTTCTTTGGAATGAAAAACTTACCTATACATAATAGGGACTCAGATCATTTTTGTTAACAATAATTTTTATACCCACGTTGCTATTATAAACACATGTATTACTTTTTCAGTCTTGTGAGTTTGTAGCAAGATATTAAGACTATATAACATGGGTTATATGGACCCCTAGGAGAGATTTACATCAGAGTTTCATTAGTTCTAAGAGCCTCTTGATATTATTACATGTAAAATTTGTAAATACAGTTGATTCTTATTCTTCATGAAATTATGTTCTATATGTTGCTATGAACACTGGATCAGCCAATACTAAAGCACTGCTCTTAGGGGATTTATGTGGTTAGGTTCCCAAAAGCCTCTGCTCACAACATTGTTGTCAACCAATTAGTACATAATCTTGTTTCATGTGTGTTTCTATTTGGAAGCACATTATTTAATATATATTTCTTGCAGATAATTATATGTAGTATTTTTTATATAAAATAATATTTTTTAAAAGATTTGTTTCTTTATTTTAGAGAGCACGAGAGAGAACTAGAGCAAGAGCCAATGCAAGTGGGGTGGGGGCTGAAGGATAGGGAGAAAATCTCAAGCAGATTCCCCACTGAGCATGGAGCCTGATGCAGGGTCCTGAGATCATGACTTAAGCCGAAACCAAGAGTTGGATGCTTAACCTACTAAGCCACCCAGGAGCCCTGAAAATAATATATATTTTTTTTAATTTATTTATTCGAGACACAGAGAGAGAGCATGAGAGGGGAGGTCAGAGGGAGAAGCAGACTCCCCATGGAGCTGGGAGCCCGATGTGGGACTCGATCCCAAGACTCCGGGATCATGACCTGAGCCGAAGGCAGTTGCTCAACCAACTGAGCCACCCAGGCACCCCGAAAATAATATTTTAATTACAGTATTTGTGTCATTGAATAAAGGCCAACAGCACTATAACTCATGCCTGAATGAAGCTTATCTAATGCACATATGTTCTCCAAGAGGTATTTAATAGCCTTCTTGCACTTAGAAACACAAGACAGCACTCAAGCACCATGCCTGGGGGCTATTTTATTTTATTTATTTTATTTTTAAAGATTTTATTTATTTATTTGACAGAGAGAGATTACAAGTAGGCAGAGAGGCAGGCAGAGAGAGGAAGGGAAGCAGGCTCCCTGCTGAACAGAGCCCGATGCGGCACTCGATCCCAGGACCCTGGGATCGTGACCTGAGCCGAAAGCAGAGGCTTTAACCCACTAAGCCACCCAGGGGCCCCTTGGGGGCTATTTTATACAGTGAAATCATTGGCCAAAAGCACAAAAATGCAGAACATTTGGCACTTCAATAACCCAGAAAAGGATACTTGCTTATAGCATGAGAGCTAAAACAGGAAGGCAGAGCATCATGTTGTTCAGCCTGAGCTGGAAACACATGCATCAGGTGATCAAAGTTTTCTCCACTCTGTATGTCTATGAATGATCATGAAAGCATTGCAGGTACTGATTTGGGGGTTAAAAATAAATTTTAGAAAGTAGGCACATCCACAAATATAGAATCCACAAAGAATGAGGAGCAACTATATTTGTTTTTTTGGAAACACTGGCTCCCACTAGATTCTGAAAGAGACCATGACACAAAAAGATTAAAGACTCCCCTGTAATACTCTCTATCAGCCCACATTACTGTCCTTCCCTCAATTTGATCTTGTGGCTATTGGGTTCTGCCAGGACCCTGCTCCCTTGCCCTCATCCAGAGGGCATCCAGAATACCAGCGCAGTTAACTTTCTCTACACTGCATCCTGTTGTTCAGGCTTTGCCTGTGTGACAAGTGTGCCCTCTAGTATATGACATATATTTACATCATTATAATAATAATGTATATCAGTGAGATGAAAGTAACTTGTGATTTGGTTTCATTTGGAAGAGGGATGAATTGAAAGTTCTAGTTAAGGCACCAGAAAATACGTTTCACGACAGCAATAGTTTTTCTGTCTTGGCCAAGGTCAGATAACACAGGTGGTCGTTTTAGGAAGCTGGCCTCCAGCACATTCAACAGTACCACACTGTGATGCATGGATAGTGTCAATGCCAGTCTTGCTTTTCCATTCAGGGCTGTGCAGGCTTTGAGAGGAGTGATGCTGTAAGGGCTTTTTTCTTTAAAGGGTGGATGGATCACTTGATAGCAGTAAAAATTTTTGACAAAGCTGTCAGGAAGACAAATATAAGCACCTGTGAGGTTTCAGGATGCAAATAGTGGACACTTACTGAGATCAGGAAAAAAAATCTTTCTGTTTTTTTTGGCGATAACTGAAATCTAGATGGTTTATGAGACTTCTTGGAATCTGTCTTTATCCTAGAGTAAATTTTGTTGACAGATGTGGCAAGTCGTTTTAGTAATACCATGCTTTCAGACCCATGTTGTAAGTAATATCAAATCACATAGAAAGGCAGTATATAATGTTTAAGAAGTAAGGTTTTGGAATCAGAACTGGGTTCAGATGTAGGCATGGCCAACTACTAGTTGCAAGACTGGAAAATTTCTCTAAAATCTCTGAGCCTTAACCTCCTTATTAGGTACAATAGGAATAATAATAGTACTTACCTCGTAGGATCATTTTGAGACCTCACTGCCATAATACAGGCAAAGTGGTTACTACGGTGATTTTTTTTTACCATGGAACAATAGATGTTTTATTACTCTTGTTTTGATACCCATCTAAAACTCCATGTGTGGAGTCCATACGTATACTGAAGCTCATTCATTTCCTGTGCACTTGGAGTCTGTGTTATAGTTTGTAAAGCTGACTCAGGACTACTTTAAACACTAACCAGTGCCTCTTACAAGGAATTGGGCAGGACATTTGTCATGTGGGCAGAAAGCAGGCTTGCTCATCTCCAGTTGACTTATATCGTTGTATAAATTGGCACTGAATGAGAAAGGATATTGGGTTAGACATACAATGGTTTGATCCAGAATATTGGTTCTACTGATCATTTTGAAATTGGTTTCATTGGAAGTATTTTCTCTGCCAATAAGTGAAAAGATCTCTTTGCTGTGTTGCATGGGCGCTAGTACTTGCCATCTTGCCATTGAAGAAAACTGCATCTTTGACATTCATCACCAGACTAGAACTAAGTCAATCATGGTAATAATGGAAGGAAAACTGATACACTTTTTGCATGTGTGTGAGGTGGTAGCATTTACTGAGCAGTTTTCCTAATAAGGAAAACAGAGGTTTTGAGAAGTTGAATAGCAAGTCCAAGTCCACACAAGTAGTAAGTGGAGGAGCCTGGTTTTGAACCAGGATGTCTAATTCCAAAATTCTATGTTCCATAGCATATATCCTCTAAACCCAGGGAAGCTTTTCTAGGGTCTCTTCCCCCTATCTGAGGTAAAAACTTATTAGATCCTCTAGGGAAGACTGTTTCTTGGGAATGCCCTATCTTTGAGAAGAACTATATGCTAGATGATGTTCCCTAATGAAATCTACTTTCTGGATTCTTTCTAAAAGATTTTTCTTTTTTAATTAAATGAAGCTACTTTTAACTAAATTAGCTCAGATGACAAAATTTTATGTCAGACCACAACCTTCACTTCTGTTTTGGTTTGGATTTTTTGGCATTCTTTCGGGTTCATGATAGACCTGGTGCAGACAGAGGTGAGGTTTGTGCCAAGTCTCCTAGTTTGAAGGACCAAGAGACTCAACTTCTGCTATGTCCCTTGTCCAAAGTCCCTCTTTCAAAACCACTCCATGTTCAGGACAACCTTGTGACTACACAAGAAGTCCTTGACCAATGTAAGACCTTTCCAAATTCTTAAATTAACAAGTTATTTATTCTTTAAAATTCTTTAAAATATTAACTATGTAGGTGATAAACTGTGGACAAGCATTAGTACTTCCAAGCTGTACGTAATGCCAAACGGGTTTTTATTTCCTTCCCAAGAGTTACTCTGTATCTGAGTAGAAGGACAGAACTTGGTCATGCTGGGTAGTTAGGGGAGCCTAACAGACTTATAACTTTTGGAGTGCAAATTAGTGCTTCATTCTGTATTTTTCCAGTTTGCTGCAGAGGACAGGTGTTGGTCTTGAAAACAGTTCTTATTATACCTTTTAAATTATGTAACAGCACAATTAATATCCACCAAGGATTTTCTGACCACTAAACTGTTAAATTCTCAAATGCCAAGGGCCCATTGTATGTTCTGAGGGAAGCTAACAGGTAAATCCTACTAATAGAGAAATATGGATGAATTTTTAAGCTGCCTTTTTACTGTGCCCTAGGGCTGCCCTGAAGGGCTGGCACTCCCTGACTATTTTGAATAAAAAGAGAAGGAAATGAGGGAGGAAAAGCAAGGTTCAAAGTAAGACAGAGTTCTTCAGGGAGTGTCTGAATAAAAGGAAGTGGTAGAGAAATTCCCAAGTTTAGAATGTATGTGTGTGAAGGTCAGGTTGAGAGGAAAGAAATTAAAGAGAAAAAAAGTTCAAGAAAACTTAGAATTTACAGTTTGGCAGAAGGCAGACCCCAACCAACATCCTCTTTCCTTCAGTCCTGATTTGTGACCCCAAACCTCACCAGCTCTGAACTCCATCCTCCAGAGAGGCATGGGTTGGGCAAAGAAGACTTCCAGAATGCAGTACAGTCTCTGCAGGTGGGGCAGGTGGTGGTGTCTATTTTTCCCTTTTCTCTCTTAGAATAGCCTTCCTGTTCAACACCAAGCTTTCATTTCCTCCTTCCTCATTAAAAAAAAAAATGAAAAAGTCAAACTATAGGCGGTGGTACCATAGCTTCAGCTGCATGCAAATGAACTGATGGCTTTGGGAACGCATCCAACATGCAGCCTCGGAAAGGAAATTGCCCTGCCCCCCGCCATTGCTTCAGAAAGAGATAGCCCCATATTCCTGCTCAGGTTGCTCTTCTAGTTCTTAAAAACTTAGCTCCCCATTTATTCCTTTTCTTAAATAAACTTTTCTTGAAGCCAACTGAAGCATTTCCTTCCACTATGCACCATTTCCTAACTACCCCTCGAGGTAGGTCTCATTTTTTGTCCCCACCCTCATGCCCTCAACCCTTTTAGTACCCTCTTTGTACTTTTGCTGAATGAGGTTGCAGACATCCTCACCCCGTGGGGGGTTGGCTGCCTGGACAGCCATCCACCAAGCAGAACACACTTGCTGACAGCAGCCTCTCCAGTTCAGACATTCCTGCTTCATCCCCTTGCCACCTGTTCTGAGCAGATGGGAGGCTGCCATTGCAGAGGCTGGCGCTAAAATGCCACTCGTGCACTTTGCAAACCAAATAGCTTATATGTGCAGGAGTGGGGTTTTTATTGTTGAGGTACAATAACAAAACAGGCTGTTTCCTACAGTTGTTTTCATTCATAAATTTCTTCCAGTCAGCCTAGGTGGTTGGGATAGATGATTGGGAACAGGTGTATCTCAAGTTCCAGTCTCCAGTGAGCACGTGGGAACTGTGTGATGTGGGAGGCAGGAAGGTGACTACAGCTCATCTAATTCCCTGCAGTCCAACCTAGGCTTTGAGCCCATGTCTCTGTAATCACCCAGCCTCATGGGTCATTGCCCAGTTTTCTTTTAAGAAATAGTTTGGTCTCATGCAACCTTATTGGAGAACTTAACAGGGGCCCATTAGAACATCAAGAAATACAGAAATAATAGTGCTGGGGATTTATACCAAGACTTCACAGTATGGTACTTCACCATTCTCAAGCGAGTAGGATAGTGCAAATTTTGTTTTTCTTTTATAGGTCTTCAAACTTCTCCCATAGTTTTCACTATCGTGTTCTAAACGTCAAGGTCCCTCGGGTATTTAACCAAAAAGCCTTTGAGATTTTGGAAGAGCCAGAAAATGCCTATATCCTAAAACTACTTCCCTTTGCCTCTGCTCTAGGTGGACACTCTGGAGGTGATACGACATCCCGAAGAAACCACCAACATGAAGAGGCAGACCATGGCTTCTTACTTCCGGGTACGGAGTCCTTTTGATCTCTGTTCTACCTGTTTCCAAAAAGGACTGCCATCCCTTCCTGTGAGAGGCCCAGATATGATGGAATTAGTGAAATAAGAGCAAAGCACAAGAGTTAGTTAAGAAAGGTGGGAGTGTGGGGAGAGAAAAATTAAAGTGGAGAGCCCACCTCTACGTATATGTTTTCTGATTTCAGAAAGATCGAATGAAATCCCATGTGTCTACAGACGGGACACTCTCTGTCACTGACACAGAGCCTGTCCATTCAGTGTGCTGATTCTGTTAGTATTTGAGCTGCTCCTTGGCCTTAAAGCTACTGGAATCCATCGCTTTTCCAGCATATTTACTGAAAAATAAAGTTAATAAAATTCCAGAAGGTGGCTTATTAAGTTCACATCCTGAGGGAATCTGTCTTAGTTTTAACTTTATTTTCCTAGATCAAATTGACCCATTGCCAGACACAGTTATTTCCCATCTCTGCTGCCCCAATTTTTGATATTTCATCTAGTAAAATGACTCCTTTGAGTAAAAATGTTGTGCCTAGAAGGGCTCTGTTAAATGCACCTTATATAGGAAAGATAAGACGCAGACACTTTTTACCAATTCACACAGATTTGTTTATCCTCAAATTATAAAGCAGTAGGGTTGGAAGCCCCGTAGAGATCATGTCCCACTGGGAACTAAGGTCTAGGCAGCTTTGTGGTGGAGATGCTATTAGGCCAAGGACAGAATTACTGATCTCAGGTTGTAGGGTGGAGTTGCGATAGGAAAGGACTCCGCAGGGATGGGAGTTGAGTGGTCATGAGCTGGAGTTGCTGAAGCAGGCTGGAGGACAGGACCTGGGAGCCAGCACCATGGGGAAGGCTCCATGGAAAGCTAGCAGGTTCAGTTAGCATCCAAAGCCAAGAAATCTGACCTCATCAGCTGTATACTTCAGAAGTAGACTGAAATTGGGCCCAGAGGGTGTGAAGTGGGCCCAGAGGCCTTTGAGTCCAGCACTCCACCCTCGTGCTGATTCTTGCTACAGCTTCTCTAACAGGTAGATGTTTAGATCCTATTTCATCACTCTCATCACATTTCTAATTGCCATATATTTCTTACCTTGAGACCTACCCTAGTCCTGTCCACTTTAGTGGCTGTATCCTCCTAGTGTCTTGGGGGACAGGGTGTGTGTGTGTATGTGTGTGCATGTGTATGTCCCCGTTCCGGGGGATTTGGAGGCTTTGAGCAACCCTGTGGGGTCAACTTCAAGATCCTAGAGTCCCTCTCTCAGAAGAAGCCACCTTTGCCTTATGATTTTTCTAGAAATATATCCATGACAATCAGTTTGGTGTCCCCCAAATGTTAATTCCAAGAAAGAGAATATAGTGGCAAGCTAGGTAATACCATTTTGGATCAGTGGAGGTGTGATTATGAAATAAAGGGACTGATTTCCTGTGTAGCTGTAGTTGCCCCTGAAGGTGTGTACACAGAGAAGCTCCAAAAGTGGCTGCCCCTTAGGAACAGCTGAGGCAGTCCCACACAGCAGTGCTTCTCTATGCGCCCTCTTTCTGTGGGAGCCCCCCACCAGCCACTTGATGGATGTTAGGTGACCTTCACAATAGTCTCCTTTTCTTCAGTTTTCTTGTTTTCTTTGTCCTTTTTCTCTCTTTCTTGTTTCTCTTCTGCTTTATTACCAGTGGTATCAGTAGGATTTGCTTAGACTTTCTGGTGGTTCTTAGGCTGAAGAAGAAACTGACCCCTTTCCTAAAGGCTAGACCTTTTACATTACAGGTACAGTTTATAGAGTACTGTGTTAGCATACCACACGAGCTGGTTCTGGGATGGCATTACAGGGTAACCTAAGCATGTTCTTCGACAGCTAAGTTTCTGCCACAAAGGGATGTTGCTTGGCACTTGGTGATATTTATTTATGCTTTAAAGATTCATCTATTTGTTTTCTTTATTTTTAAAAAATTTATTTATTTGTTAGAGAGAAAGCATGAGCTGGGGGGAGGGACAGAGGGAGAGAGAGAGAGAGGATCTCAAGCAGACTCCATGCCGAGTGAGGAGCCTACTGCAGGGCTCAGTCCCACGACCCTGAGTTCATGACCTGAGTCGACATCAAGAGTTGGATGCTTAACTGATGGAGCCACCTAAATGCCCCTCATCTGTTCATTTTGAGAGAGAGAGAGAGTGTGGGTGTGAGCATGCGAGCAGGGGGGAGGGTCAGAGGTAGAGAATCTCAGATGCCTGGCTGAGCAGGGAGCCTGACACAGGGCTCAGTCCCACCATCCCAAAATCATGACCTGAGCTGAAATCAAGAGTCAGACGCTCAACCAACAAAGCCACCCAGGTGCCCTGGCCCTAGGGGATGTTTCAGGAATGCTTTTGAATCCACAGGCAGCTATAAGGACTTCTCAGAACTTATATTATCACCCCCTATAGCTGGTTTCTTTTCCAGCCTTATAAAGGCCTGTGAGTTGTTTACAAGCCCACAAAATGCTCTAGAGGGCCCCATGGGCCTGTGCCGGAATTATCCATTATGTTTGTGGTAACCTCATTTCCTGTGTATTTTTCCCCCTGGTAGTATTCTCTGATGGATCTGCTCTCCAAAATGGTGGTCGGACAGCCCCACTTTGTGCGCTGCATTAAACCCAATGATGACCGAGAGGCCCTGAAGTTCTCCCGAGAGAGTGTGCTGGCCCAGCTCCGCTCCACAGGGATCCTGGAGACAGTCAGCATCCGCAGGCAGGGCTATTCCCACCGCATCCTCTTTGCAGAGTTTGTGAAAAGGTCAGGCCAGCATCTTGGGAAATGCGTTCTGTTAAATATAGCTGTCCTGTGGCTATCCCTGTCCCCTGGGACTGCTCCTCCTGCTTGTTTGTCTCCTAACATGTAATGGGCTAGTTGCCAGCTACCATTTACTTGCTGAAATGTTGCATTTTTATTGTGCTCCATCTAAATTGCTGTGCTCTGGAGGACAGGGTAAGCACCCTTCTGACCACTTTTTAAAAAATAAAAACATCCATAGATATTTATATATTACACATATCCTTAGGTTTCAGAGCGTCCAGATATTTAATTGACATGGTGAAAGTGTTCCTTCTTAAGTGGGTCAAGATTCTAGTGGATGTGAACACACCCAAGCAGCCGATCCTCTCTTAGGATAAAACAATGTTATGGTATCATAGGAGAGTTAACATTTATATAGCACCTAGAATGTCCTAGATGTATAATCTCATTTGATCCATAGAAAAATGCTGTAAGCTATGATATGTTATTATTCCCATTTTACAGATGAGGAAATTGAGGCACAGAAAGAAATGTGACTTTTCCAAGGTCCCATGTTAGTAGGTGGTAGAGCAGAAATTTGAACCCGTGTAGTCTTCAGCATCCACATTTAATCTCCTCGGTCCATTGTATTCACTCAATGTTTATTGAAATGTTTTGGAGTTTTTTAGACCCAGAAATTGACTTTATCTAGGAGTGAAAACCTGTTCTCGTCTATACAAGGCCATAGGGATGGATTCTGTGTCATGTGATTATGGGTAGAAGTTTTATAAAACTTTCTGTGAGGAAATAGATAGAGGGCAACAATAACAAAAAGCCACCTGTGAGATACACTGCTATCTGAGGACACCTGAGAGGAAAATTAAAACCCATTTTAAAATTTGCATCCCATTAGCCATTTTTAGTTTCTTTTTACCTCTTTTCTGAAACTTGTGCCCAAGGTCATTTTTCCAACTTTTTCTCCAGGAAGAATGGATTCTAATAGGTATCTTGCTTCACCGAGGCTTCAGAAGTTTGGTTTTGTTTTTTTTTTCCCCCTAGCGATTTTATTTATTTGACAGAGAGAGATCACAAGTAGCAGAGAGGCAGGCAGAGAGAGAGAGAGAGGAGGAAGCAGGCTCCCTGCCTAGCAGAGAGCCCGATGCGGGACTCGATCCCAGGACCCTGAGATCATGACCTGAGCTGAAGGCAGAGGCTTAACCCACTGAGCCACCCAGGCACCCCTACTTCATTGAGGCTTCAAAATACCACTATATTCCATGGAGAAGAAAGGGCAAAGAAATTTCCTTGCAGTTAGAGTTTTTCAATTAAAAATAACAAAATGGCTTTTAAAAAAGAAGTATCTTTGAGCTCCTTTTTCCTCTTAAACTTGGAGGTGTTAGGAGAAAAAGAAGACTGTTTTAGCACATGAATGTGACTAGTCAAGTATTTTTAGCCACTAAGTGTGGAATACATAAAAATATTTAAGAAAACAGGTCAAATGCTAAACAGATTGGCACTTCTTTGTTCGTAATCAGAAAGCCATTAGGCAAGTATGAACAAGAATTTCAAAATGTCAGTAAATCTGAAGGTATCAAAGATTTCTGAGCCAGGAAGTTAATTATTGGTATTTTGATCCTTTTGAGCAATTTCACAACAAAATAGATGAGTTAGCAGTTTTCTTTCTTGATGTTTATTCAACAAATAGGTGCGCCTCTTATCTTCCTGTTTGGGAGTGCTGTTTTGTAAACTCCTAGCGGGAATATGCAGACAAAACAATCAAAGGCAGGGAACAGAGTCATTCAGGTTTATTGGGTAGAGGTAAATAAAAGGTAAAGCCTTGTTTTACATTATTCTTTACCTTTTTGTACTTTCTGGCATTTGGGACAGAATCCAGAAAGACAGTGTTTAGGGTATTATGTTATTGGGTTCCAGAATGGGGAAGTATTGTTCAAGTTACCCAAATCTGCCACTTGGCCAAACCTAAAATACTTCCTCACCCCATCGTCTTTGAATTTTTCCGCAAAATCACTTGGAAGTGCCCTTTCTGTTTTCTATTCATGGAGCCTTGGGGGAGAGAGGTTGTTCCCAACACCTTCTCATCAGTGGGGCCAGGTGGGTTGGAAGTTTTATCTATTCTCATACAGGTATGGAAGAAGTCACCTGGCAGCACTGGGCAGGTAGCGAAGCCTCCTGAAGTCGTACTGTTCAGGGACATCACAGAAAATGACTGAATACTTATTGGCTTCATGGTGACTGGTCGGAAGCGTGGTCAACAGAAGGTCTCTGCTGGGGCAAACACATAGAACAGCATGTGTTGGGATGTGTTCTGGCAAATGTCTGTAAGATAGTACTGAACTTTCAGTTCAGAGTCTTACCATTTGTTTATTTAAACTATTGCAGTGAATAGTGCAACTTAGTAATGAGATCAGGGTTCTAATCTACTTTTGGATGTAGTGTTTGGCACATTACTTGACATTCTGTAAAAAATATTTCCTTGTCTGCATGAGAAGGCAGGATTACACAGAACCCATATTCTGAAGAGTTTCAGGGATCACATGTAGATTCCTTGGCCTAACTTGGCTTCTGAGTCTTCCAGAAAGACCCACTTCCCCCCAGTCAAGCTCACAATCTCCCAGGTCCCAATTCATAACAGTTGTTAAATCAGTGTGTTAAACAGAATAACCTTTACTCCCCTGACCCAGGACATCACAGTTTTGTACCCCATGATAAAGGGAATTTCCACCTTGGAAAGATTACTTATCTTTCATTTGAAAATTTTTATACTGTGATCATAGGACTATTTGAGATCTCCCTAATGTACATAACACCTTAAATTTTCTTTAAGATCTTCCCTTTCAATAGTTTACTATTTCTCATTATTTTCTTCCTGTGTTTTCCCTTTGTAATTAAAATGAAATCACTAAAGTATTGTGAACTTGTAGAATTCCCTGGCGGTGGCAGAAAAAGTATACAATTACATAGTAGAGTTTGGGTCTAAATGTGTGGTTTAATGGAATAGATACTGGTTTTTCATAATCATTGAGGGTAGGGGTGATCCTCTCAGCAGCTGCAGAAACAAACCCACATTATTTCCAACAAACCATGCTGTTATTCAAAGTATTTCTTATTTGGACTTTCCTTCAGAACAAAGCACACAATTATTTTATATGACTTCTGCGAACGCCCAGTTTGACCACCTTTTATATTAGACTTGCCTCTGAATTAATCTTAGCTCTTTCTGAAAATTAACACATGTACATGACAAAAATTTACCAACTTGGAGGCTTTTATTTATTTTTTTAGGATTTTATTACTTGAGAGAGGGCACGTCCATGTGTGCAAGAGAGAGAGAGCACAGAGGGAGAAGTAGACTCAGAGAGCCTGACATGGGACTTGATCCCAGGACCCTGGGATCATGACCTGAGCTGAAGGCAGATGCTTAACTGACTGAGCCACCCAGGTGCCCCAACTTTGAGGCTTTTAAGTGGAAGTTCAGATATAGATTCTAAAAATGAGTCCTAAATATTTATGGCAAAGAGAGCCTGTAATGTCCCAAGGACCTGGAGAATAAGTGATTTTTAAAAGGAACCACAGTTATTAGGGCTTTTTTGTTGGTTTGGGTATGACCTTTTTGTGAATGAGTTACCTGATTTTATAACCACTTTCCAAGTAGTAGCAGAATTTCTAGCAGCTACAGAGAAGCCTTGTGAATGCCAAGGATTATGGACACAACAGTTGCCTCTGAACATTTGTGAAGAATCAAAGTGCCCTTGTGAGAACTGTCTCATAAAAAGTCATTTATACACCTCTGCCTTTACCTATGTATCCATATCTCAAATAGAATGCCTGGCACAGAGTAGGTGCTCAAAAAATGTGGAGCGAATGATTCTAAACCCAATGATGCTGAAGACAAGAATGTGCCTCATCTGAAGGCAAGAATGTGCCGCACCTTGTATGGAACTTGCCATATAGGTAGGTTCTCATTAGACGTTTTCTCTTGATAACAAGGAGGCTGTATTCATGGCCAGAAACTAAGAAGCCCTGTAGGTAACATGTATGTCCACCTCTTGGTTTCATCCTGGGACCACTCTGGAAAAACCCTGAAGGAGTACAAAGTTAAGGGTCAAAGTCCAAATATGAAAGACTTGAAAATCAAGGTCAATTTTAAAAATGTCTGGGGGTGGAGGGCGCCTGGGTTGCTCAGTGGGTTAAAGCCTCTGCCTTCGGCTCAGGTCATGATCTCAGGGTCCTGGGATTGAGCCCCGCATCGGGCTCTCTGCCCCGCAGGGAGCCTGCTTCCTCCTCTCTCTCTGCCTGCCTCTCTGCCTACTTGTGATCTCTCTGTCAAATAAATAAAATACTAAAAAAAAAAAAAAAGTCTGGATGTCTAGACACACTCCAGAACTTCCACCAGCAAGAATACCTGGGTCTCAAAGGATTGCTCTAGAATCCAAGAAAGTGAATTCTTCAGTTCTGGAGATGCCCTCAATAAGGAGTCTTGTGTGTCCTTTTCGTTATAGTATAAATAAATAAAAGCAGTAAAGAAAAAAAAAAAAAAACGACAAGAATAAAGTACCTTTATGGAGGGCATGAATTACAAAAGTGCATATGACACAGAACATCCTAAACATTTATTCTCTCCTTTTACTGCTCCCTGCTGTACTTTTCAGAATACTAAGGGTAGTCTCCCAACTGAATTTGGGAGAGCCTCCCAATATGTCTTTCTAACTCCAATCTGTTTACTAGCCATTCCTTACACTGCCAATAGTTATGTTTCTAAAAATGTAATCCTGTCATTCCTGTGAATAAAATTCTGTGCCTGCTCCTCACTGCCTACAGGGTAACATCCAAAGCCTTCAGATCAGTAGGTAAGGCAGACGTTTCTCAGTAGGTAAGCTCCAGCCAACCATTCTCATTTTTCCCCACTGTTCTCTCTCTCACACCCTAGACTGCTGTCAGTCTAACCATGGACCCTCCAGGCCTATGCACAGTGTTGGCCTTTATACCTCTTTACACCTACT